CTTTCAAAGTGTTCTTGTAGAATATCTTTTTTTAAAAGCGAATAAATTTCGTGGCTTTTTTTTTTTTTTTAACTATCCTACGCGATAATCTTTATTGTATTGGAGTATCCACTTACCCGGTGTTGGTCTCTTCTCCTGTAGTCATTAAAAACTTATTTTATGTTAGCGAAACAAATCACGAATCTAAATGTTTTATTGGATTTTTTCTTAACTTATTTTTTTTAAAAAAAATTTTATTATAAAGAATAATAATTATATAAAACAGGAAATATTAAATTACGTATTTTTTTATTTTCGCGCCAAAATAATTTTTTTTTTGATGATCATCGTGTTCGTTTAAAAATTTGATACCTTACCATCTTTTTGTTTAAACTGGTAATGTTTTTTAAATAATTTTTTTTTTTTACTTTCTAGATTAAAATACAACAATAATTATATATATTATTATATATAATTTATTGTATAAGTATAACATATGATTATTAATATTTTAATTATAAAGATAATGTCATATATGGAATTTGGTAAATTTAGAATGGATCATATTTCCGATATTCTATAAAAAATTTTATACCATATATTAACGCTTATTGATTTTGATTGACTGATATTTATTTTCCAACGGCTAAATATCAAATAAAATTGCAATAAATTACTACTTTTTTATACTTTTCATATATTATTATTATTACAATATTAATTTAAAGCATGATATTGTGTGACTGACGCAATAACGATAACATTATAAAATAATTTGACCCGTTGAAACAATTATCAATCACGTGGTTATCTCCTATTCATAAAAATTTCGCTGCAATTATATATTAATTATAATAACTTTAGTAAAAATTTCTCAACGCTTCATGTTGTACAGTCGCGTTCGAAAGTGACGCCCGATTTTGTACGGTGTTACGATACACCAAATTTACATTATTTATACCTCCTTTTTTTATTTTTAAAGTTTTTCTCATAATTTCATAAACTAATAAACGCATTATAAAGTTAAAAAAATAATGTCACATAGAACTGAGTTAACTTCTCAAGATAAGGGGAAAATACTTGCATATATGGAGAATTTTAACCCTGCACAAATAGCAAGAAAAATGGGTCGTGACCCCACCACATTAAGAAGAATCATTGACAGATACAAGAAGACAGGGAAAACTGAAAATTTACCTAGATCAGGGCGTCCACCTGCTCTCGATGATAATGA